GCTGCTCCCAGGGCTGGGCCAGAGCAGGCACTGCTGGACTCTGCAGATCCAAGTGGTGGTGCTGCACTGCTCCATCCCTCTGGTATTAAATGAAAGCCTTTCTTTTGCCTCTCTGACTTTGCCATTAAGCACTTGCCACTAGTTGGGCAAAGCAGAGCTTGGAGAGACAAGCTGGACACAGATCCCTGACTCCCAGATCTCCCTGTTGGCTCCTGCCCAACACCTATGTAGCTCAAATAGCCCATAAAGCAGAACAAACTCAAGCAAGGGATTGACTGGAAGCTCCCACAGGAGCAAACAGCATCTTCTCCTTTGCCTTGGCCACACTGCCCTCCCAGAGGATGGCTTTCTCCCTTGCTTCCATACAGAGAGCAGTGCCTGTGCTGCTCATCCCGCGGCGCTCCATGGCCGCTGGGGCTGTCTTGCAAACCTGCCTACTCTGCACAGCCCCGCTTGTCACTTAGGGAAGTGTTGACAGCACCACACGGAGCGGTGCAGGTTCACAGCTGAGCCGGATTGCTCAGCTCCTTGGCAGGGGAATGACAGGTCCCAAAGACTCGCTGTCTCTCCAAGGCAATCCTATGGTGCTTGTAGAGATGTTACCTGGATCAGCAGCAGGAGGAAAAGCCTAGGAGGTGGCAGGGGCCTGCCTGCGTGCAAATACCATGCACATGAGGCAAGGTTGGCAGTGATGGAGCTCTCCCCGCTTCCCAGCTGCCTTCTGGCTCTGGGATACCCAATCCCGTGTGGTGGGGAGAGCCTGGGGAAGGAGCTGTGATGGGGGGAAACAGGAGCTGGGGTTCCTCCTGCCCAAGCCCTTTGGGGACTGTGAGCAAGGCAGGAGAGAGGCTTCCGTGCACCCTTATTTTGGGGGACAGAAATGAGGGCATGGGGTGAAGAACCTCCCTGTGTACCTCCAGATCCTTGTCCTGGATGGATGCAGATGAACAAGCCCAGGGGAGCGCCCAGGAGTGCTGTGGATGCTGGCAGAGGGCACGGCTGCCTCCTCAGAGCCCAGTTAATCCCTGCAGGGCGAGAAACAGCCACCCCAAACCAAATTGTAAATACATCTGTGTCCTCCTTCTCCCTGCCACGCGTTTAAATCTATTTGATCCACTCTAATGGATTGATCTACAAGTTTGTGCACACACATCCTGCTTTGGACAGGGCTGCTGGCAGCGCCTCACCCATCACGACCTGTCAGCTCCACTCAGGCTCACCTCCACCGGGGAACGAATCCAATTACAGGATAAAGGGTTTTCTTCCCCTCCATCTGGTCTCTGTAACGCTCCGGCTTTATCTTTCTTTAACCCCTTTCCTGGTGAGGGAGCTCACAAGCCCAGCGTAAGCGGCTCAGCGCAGTGGCCACGCGTGGCTGCTATCTGATATGGGGAAACGAGGGCAGCTGGGGTACCGGGAGGTTTGCACCTTCCTCCCTCTTCTGCCACCAGGGAGGAACGGGCCCCTCCGGAGATTCAGGGCTAACCAGAAGCACAAAAGCACGCTCAGCACCAGTTTTCATTCAGCATCGGTGCTCATGGCCGAGGTTCAAGGTCCTGCCCATCACCAGAATGTAAGCACAGATGTTTGCTTCATGACTCGTTTCTTTTGTGTTTCACTATGTCTTGCTCTGCAGGTCATTCCTGGCGTGTCCCTGGGCTAGCAGCAATGAAGAGCCCTGTGCTTGGACCGGGAGAGACACAGCAAAGAGCTCCCGGTTCCGCTGTTCCAGACACTCACCTCCTGCAGCAGAGCCCATGCTTTGCTCTGCCTGTTGACTGTGCCCAGTGAACCAACCGTATCAGCTCAGTGCACGTTAGTTATTTGATTATAATTATCATTTCATGCTTTACACAGGACGTAAAAGCCCAGAGCAGCTCAGGGCTGTGTCACGCAATGTGCGGACAAACAATGACAACGAGGCAATCTCATCTCGTAGAGCTTAGCAAAGCAGGAAAAAAAACCCAACCTTGCAAAGGGGAAGAAAACCCTTCCTTTTCTTAAGGAAAACCACAAAGGAAGCAGCCTCTTCTCTCACATTAAACAGGGCCTGAATTTTGCTCTTGCCTTCTTTGCCATGGAGTCAGCATAGAAAACAATTGAGAGCTCTCTGGGAGACAGCCCATAAAGTTTCCCTGCTAAGAGACACCAAATTAAAGCCATCGCTTTCCATTTCTGTGACAGAGACACAGAGGGAACCAAGGTTGTATTCAGGACATGTCCTGGAGGAACCAGCTCTCGTCTCCAGGGTCGTTTCCCTACGCTGAGCTTATTTGAGGCCTCCGGCATTGCTCTGATTGCTCCTGACCTGCAGAGAGCTCTAAATCCACCAAAACACCAGCCCCAGCTCACAGGGGAGGAAGCCAAGTCTGTGAGGACAGGGTAGGACAGCCCCTGTCAGCACTACAGAGGGGGGCTCAGGCTTACCTGCTCCATATTCAGCTCCTAAAGAGGGGAAAGGTCCTGGTCCAGATCTTGTTGAAGGTCAGGTGAAAGTCCTCGTGATCCAGAAAGACCTCATGGTCCATAGTCATCTGTATGAAAGGTTTCACACATGAAACCAAATCTGCACCCCACCTTAGCTGGAAGAGCAAGTGGAGAGGGTCCACAGATCAATGACAGCATCGGATCCTTTCCCCCACCACCCAAAGCAGACTCATTTCACCTCTTCTCCACATAGCTGGGCTTCATTTGCACAGCTCCACTCAAAGATGGGACAGCACAAAGATGTGGTAGAAAGCCTCAGATGGGAGATGGAAATTGACTCTCCCATAACTGTGTTCATGTACAAAACCTGGGAGAAGCACCAGAGCTTTCAGATGCTGCTGGCACTGGCAGCAAGGTCCAAGTCCTTTAAAGGTGGACCATCACTGTGTTATCTCTTAGCTGGAAAGAGCTGCTCTCTACCATGGAGGTTAGGAGGGGCATGGAATGGAGATGCACATCTCTGTGTATTAGCATTTCTGGCTTCTGCTTGAATATTCAACTAATTCTGGGGAAATGTGCCCAACTTTTGCATGTCCAGAAGCCTGACTATGGCTGTATGGAAACGCATGACCATATGGAGAGACTATGTCATGGAGAGGCATGAAATATGTCCAGGGAAAGCTTTATGAGAAGGCTATGGGACTTCTCCACAAGAAACCCTCCTCCTCAAAGAAGGCCTTGACTGGGAGTTTCACAACTGGTGGTTTCACAGGACATACAACAAGAGAGGCACAGATATCCCACAGGGAATCCTTATCCCAGGGCAGCTGAGGCTGATGTGACCCACTTCCTCTCACCACATCCGTGTTCTGTTCCTCTTGGATCTCTGCTAATGGATTAGTGGGTCAGCGATTAGGACATCATTCATCCCAGCCTTCCCTTTAGCCTTCTGCTCCTGTCCTCCAGCTCCCAGGCATCCCAGTCCTGCAGAACACCTCGTTCCTGCAGCATTGGTCCTGCTCTTGGACCTTGTCTTGGCGGAGGGCAGCGGTGGGGAGGCTGCAGCTTACCGCATTAACAGATCAGGGCCATTAACGCCACCAGATGTCAGAGATTAATGAAGAGCTTCACTAAGGCTCCTTAAGCAGGTCTCCTGGAGGAGCAGCATCAATGACCCAGAAGGAAGAAATGGGGAAAAACCCTGGATGAGGTGAAGCACTGGTGCTCCGAGCTGGCACCAACCCTGCGGAGGAGGTTTCACAGCCTCATGCGTGCAGGAATGGGGAACCCACACCCCATACTGGGTGCTAATAGACTGGGAGACACTTCTTTCCCTCCTGCTTGCTCTCCCAGTGTGGTAGAGGCTGGTTCTGGTCCCTCAGCATCGCCAAGGCTTTACCTTCCCTCCCCCAGTGTACTCAGGCGCTGCTTCTCCAGTGACTTTGTCAGGCTGGTTTTAGAGCTACCTCTAAACCCTGCCAATCCATGCAAAGCTGAAGCCCAGATCAGTGTCCCGCTTGCTGGGATGAGGAGGAGGCTCAGGTGGGAAACCCTCACCAGTAGCTCCCTGGGAGACAGGGATGGTGCCACCTCCATCCCTGCCAGATGGTGCACTCCCTCTGTCTTGCCAGAGATCCTTGGAGGATCAGCTGAATAACGTGTATCCTCACAAGGAGGCAAGACAGAGGAGGAAATTCAGTGCTTTGCCCTCCAGCACAAGCAGGGTCCATGATTCAGGGTCTAATAGAACCAAAAGACCTTCCCGAGAATGCTGGGTTTACCGAGATTGCAGCCTTTGGTATGTGAAGCTGTTTCCCCCTCCTGCCTTTGCCCCATGCACAGAGGTAGCCCTGAGTCACGTTCATAAAGCCTGGTTTTGCTCTGTGATGGGGACACGTGTCCGTGTCAGGCAGCACTTGGAGCAAAGAGCAACCAAACAGCCAGAGCCAAGCCAATGGCTCAGACCCACAGAGCTGGATCCAGTCTTCCCTCAGCAACCTCCTCAAGGAGGAGGTCCCTCAGCCATGCAGGGACTGACAAAGGCACTGACCCTCTGTGGGCCTGAGCATGGACCCATTTCCCCATCAGTTGCCCAAAGCAGCCGCTTCCCAACTCGCCACTGCTCCTCCTACCTGTGCCCCTCTTCCAAAGGGCTCCCCACCATATCCCTTCCTTCCCCCAAACTCCTTAAACAATATTAAACACTTAATGGCAATTAATACGCTTTAATGCAGGTTTTGGGGCCAACCGGCTGCTTAGAGGGTGCTTAAACCATCAACCCCTCTCAATCCCGTTGCCCTTGTCATACAAAGTCAGCCGAGACCCTAATCCAAGCTCCCCCCGCACTCCCAAGGAGGCCAGAGGGTATAAAACCTCCTGGCACATGGGCACCGCCAGCCCAGCCCTCCCCGCAGAGCAGGGGCAGGCACCACCTCCCGTCCCCTCGGATCTACTGTTGTGCTTATTAAGTTCTTCTTCGGATTGGGGGGGGATCCCAGTATCCAAAACTCGGATATTTTGCTGCATTAGGGGGTGGTGCTTCCTTTTTTTGTTTTAAATTGGGGTTGAAGCAGAATTGAATACAGACTCAGAATATCTGATTTTTAGAAAGCCCTTAGAAGCAAAGCAGCTGCCCTCACGTTGGCAGGATGAACGGGACGGAAGGCGTCAATTTTTACGTGCCTATGTCCAACAAGACAGGGGTGGTGCGAAGCCCCTTTGAGTACCCCCAGTACTACCTAGCTGAGCCCTGGAAATACCGTGTCGTGTGCTGCTACATCTTCTTCCTCATCTCCACCGGTTTGCCCATCAACCTGCTCACCCTCTTGGTGACCTTCAAACACAAGAAGCTCCGGCAGCCGCTCAACTACATCTTGGTCAACTTGGCCGTGGCTGATCTCTTCATGGCCTGCTTTGGCTTCACAGTCACCTTCTACACGGCCTGGAATGGCTACTTCGTCTTTGGCCCCATTGGCTGTGCTGTGGAAGGCTTCTTCGCTACGCTGGGAGGTAAGGGCTGGGGGAGCTTGGGTCTTCCTTCTTCAGGGCTTTGGGAGCCCAGTTCCTCTCCTTCATCATGCCATCAGGGCAGCCGTGATGCACGCAGCATCCCTCCCATGCAGAAAGCCATCTCGCATGCTGCTGCAGTGTCACGGCTTGTTGCAAGGGGCAGAGCTTGCCGTGCAAGGCACTGCTTCTCTGTGGCTTAAAGACAGGGACCACATCATGTCCTTAAGTCAATGTCAAGCATCTCTGGCAAAAGGCTTCCCTTTCTGTGAAAAGATGGAGCACTGGGGAGGGTTCAGAGGGGGAAGAGAGATCCCTTGGGAGACGGGCCCCACAGAAGAGGTGTGGGCATGGAAAGGAGTTCAAGACAAAAAAAAAGGGGGTCACAGCTTCTTTAGGGAAAAAAGAAAGATGAAGCAGCTCTTAACCAGAGGAGAAGAGCAGCAGTGTGAGGGGAAGGAGGATTCAGAGCTAGTGAAGCCAGGCCCTGTCTCTGCAGCAATTGCTCAGCTCTGTCCCAATTGCTCCCAATTTGAGTGCCCTCGGGAGCTTCCTTATTTCATTTCTCAGGGACATGAGAGCTGTTAACGCTTCGCCCTACAGAACCCCCCCTGCAAAACAGGGAAAATTCACTTTGCACCCAATGCCCACGCAGCCACTGGGCCCACATGACACCTCGTGATGGATCTGACAACCACTAATCCTCGCTGTAGACATCTATAACCACTGCAAGGGCTTCACTTGTTTTCCCCTAAATGGGGCAATTTCCTGCAATGATGCTGATTGGGGGGAAGGCTATTCTGCCAGGCTAAAGCAAAGTTAAATGTTCTAAGCCAAGCCAAGGACTCAGGAAGGGCTTGATCTTGGGGTCAGAACATCGTATGGGTCTGCATCATTTCTGACCAAGCGAGCTTCAGGCAGCATTATTTGCTCTTCTGCCGTTTGTGGCTAGTAAAGAGCAAGGAGGCTTCTGTTCAGAGGGAGGAATGTTTGATGGGAAGCAGTCGCAGTGCTAGCAGCAGGTCTCCAGCGAATGCAAGCACAGGGTGTAGTTATCAGCAGATTATCACAGCTGGGGGCATTAGCAGGCTTATGGCACCGACTAAACTCTTCCAATCCCCTGAAGTTTAATTATCCCTTATAAACACATGTGCAGGCATGCCCACACACACACAGCCTCCCCACACCAGCACTGGTGGAAGGCTCATGAAATGCACATTTAAAGGCATCAACAGGTTTGGACACCTCTGGTATCTTTGCCAGGAATGTGCTTCTCTGTGCCCAGCTTCATTTTTAAAGTCCTACAAACCCATGATGATCACCAGCATCCTCCATCACCAGCACCCCACCGCGGCACAGCCGTTCCCCTCAGCATGCTGCCGTCGGGAGATCCTCAGTTATTTAGTAGGATGCTGGTTTTCCCTTGCTGATCCCCGACTCCTCAGTTCCCTCTGCTCTTTGCTGCAGCCACAAGGCCGTGAAGGGAAGATCAAGCCCAGAGTTGCTCTTACCACCCCCATGTGCTGTTTCTCTCCCTCCCGCAGGCCAAGTCGCCCTGTGGTCCCTGGTGGTCCTGGCCATCGAGCGCTACATCGTCGTCTGCAAACCCATGGGGAACTTCCGCTTCTCCTCGAGCCACGCCATGATGGGCATCGCTTTTACCTGGGTTATGGCCTTCTCCTGTGCTGCTCCACCCCTCTTTGGCTGGTCCAGGTGAGTCCAAGCATGCGGCAGCCCCTGCTGCTGTGCAGACACCCCACTGGGACAGGACGTGAAACCCTCTGGGCTCCTGCAATAGAGGCAATAGGGCAAGTCAGAATGTAAATGAGACCTGAGCTGTCAGTCTCACGACAGCTTGGTGTCCCCTAACCAAAGGCAGGCACAGGCTCAGCATCTCCTGCTGCAATAGCCCTTCGTGCTCTGCAGAGAAAGAGGAGCTTTAACAGGCACAGCTTGTCTCGTGCTGTGAAGAGCCCATTCTTCTCTGCAGACTGGAAAGAGCGTTTGGACAGCCAGGCCAGCAGGCAATTCAATCCCTAGGTTGAGCTCCTCCTGTGGCCCCCAGGGAGGGTCCTGGTGAAGATCCTAACCTTTCTCTCTGGCAGATACATGCCGGAGGGGATGCAGTGTTCCTGTGGTCCCGACTACTATACCCACAACCCTGACTATCACAATGAGTCCTACGTCCTCTACATGTTCATCATCCACTTCATCATCCCAGTCGTGGTCATTTTCTTCTCCTACGGGCGCCTCATTTGCAAAGTCCGAGAGGTAACACTGGGAGGGGATGGATGGGGCCAGGGTGGGCAGCAGGAGGTGGTGTGGGGTGGGAAGCTGCTGGGTGCTCCTCAACACCCTCCTGCTTGCAGGCAGCTGCCCAGCAGCAGGAATCAGCCACAACCCAGAAGGCCGAGAGGGAGGTGACGCGGATGGTGATCCTCATGGTGCTGGGATTCATGCTGGCTTGGACGCCCTATGCCGTGGTGGCGTTCTGGATCTTCACCAACAAGGGAGCGGACTTCACTGCCACTCTCATGTCAGTGCCTGCCTTCTTCTCCAAGAGCTCCTCCCTCTACAACCCCATCATCTACGTCCTCATGAACAAGCAGGTGAGACCCCCATGGCATGCAGGGTGAGCCTCTGCCCTGGGCTTACCAACACATCTGGGGTCATTGCAGGCACCTCACTCTTTCCCAGAAGGGGCTGAATCTCAGCCCTGAATCTCAGGGGCTGTTGGGGGCTCTTGGTCCTTGTAGCACATCCCCACTGTCCCCCAGTGCTATCGTTCTCCATTTCTCTCCCCTCTTCAGTTCCGTAATTGCATGATCACCACAATCTGCTGCGGCAAGAACCCCTTTGGGGATGAAGACACCTCTTCCGCTGTATCCCAGAGCAAGACCGAGGTCTCCTCCATCTCCTCCAGCCAAGTATCACCTGCATAGACCATGGACAGTTTGAACTGGGGTGACCCCCCGAGCTCAGGGACCAATACAGACATCCCTCTCCCACAGTCTCCCTTCATGCAGTCCCTCCCTTGTGCGCCAACACCCAACCTTTAGCTGTGCACCTACTGCAGTAGCATCCCCCAGGCACCGGACACCCCTGGTGCGAACACACAGAGCTCTTCCCACTGACACAGCCCCTTGCAGGGCAGCCCAGGTCCCTTCCCCAGCTCCCAGGAGCTGGTCAGCTTCTGGGAACTGTCTCTGCCTGCCCTCTGGCTTAATTCACACCATAGCAGCAGCCAGTGGGACACCCCAAACCCTGGTATTTCCCTCCCTGCCCTGAACGATGTCCCTGCAGCATCCCCTTCCCCGGTGCTCAAGGGAGTGTTGCAGAAGCATTGAGCCCTCACTTAGTGCAAAAGCTAAGCCTACAGACAGAGCACACCGCACACCCCTGAGCACAGCCCTGCGGCTGGAGCTGCCCTTTGCCCAAGCCTGGGGCTCTCGGAGCTGCCTCCTCTGCCGGCGCGGCTGATGGGAATCGATACCCGCAGTCTTCATAAATCAATAGAACAAATGGAGCCGTGAGCGGGCTTTGCTTCAAGCCTGACTCCCTGTAGCCCCAAGACAACTCTGTAGATACAGGGGTTTTCATCTTGGAACCTGTAAATATTTGCTCACGTACTTTGAAGTCTCTCTCTCTCAGCCCTTTCCTTTCTCTTCCTTCTCCCGACTCCAAGGCACAGAAAGGGTCTTTCAGCTCCACTCCTGCTGGCCGGACACCCACAGCCAACCTTGGAGGGTGGGACCGGCCCCTGAGCACGTTCCTGTACATATTTTATAAATAAGATGTCAGCACAAGGACTTCTACAGTCAAGGAATAGGGATTAAAAAGTAAGAAATAAACAGAAGCAGCAGAGACACGAATCGAGATGCTCCGTCCTGCTCCTTTCTGTGGGGCTGCACCGACGAGATGCTGATGCGAATGTAATGCTGCTTTTGGAGATGTGAGCCCAGAGCTGTCTCGATACCCACGGGAAGGGGGATCTGTGAGTTAGACCAGCCCTGATCACAGAGGGGAGAGCAGTGACTGTCCCCAGCAAGGTGACATCCCCGTGAGCACCAGAGGGGTTTAGAGGCACAAAAAGACACAGACAGGGCACAGAGCAGGAAGTGCTGCCGCCTGTACCATGGCCCTCACAACCCAAGCTATCACCAGCCATTATTTTTCTGTCGTTTAACATTTAAGCATCCCCCACGTAGCCTTAAATAAAGCAGAGCTTTTGCAGAGTTCAAGCTCCCCTCCCCACGGGGCCCTTCGAGGCAGTGGTGTTCAGGAATTGGCAGAGTCAGGGAAAAACTGTTCCCTGTGCCAGTGAATTCGTTATGGAGCCACTGCAGAATGATCCCGAGCACAGGGGCTGCTGGGGCTCTGGCCTCCCTGCTCAGCACACGGGCCCTCTCGCAGGCATTTCCCTTCCTTTTCCCCTTCCTTCCTTTTGGGCCAAAGCAACCAAAACCCATGGGAAGCCCAAGGTGCACCCCTGGGATGGGAATGCAGGAATAGAAACCACCATTTGCAGCAAGCCACCAGCACAGCCCCGTGGAGCGGGGGGTGGGGGGGAAAGATGCTGCTCCCAACCCCAGCTCCCTGGGCTCCCCCTGCCTCTGCATTGCCCCATCCACCTGAACTGGGGGCTCTTGAATTGATGCTGTGGGTCTGGCACCACTCCTGCACCAGCAGCTACACTGAATAATTCATGGCCTGCTCTCCCGGGTCTCGGGAGCCTCCTTTCCTTCACCTACAAAGCAACAAACCCGTTTCCCTTTGAAACGAGGGAGCTCGTTGCTTGAAACGAGGGAGCAGCAGAGGAGCGGAGGCACCGCGGCTCTTTACAGTGAGCAGTTGAACGCACTGTGTGCAAGGGAAGGCAGCAACCTCAGCATCGCCTGTCTCACCCCTCGACTTCTGAGCACAATGGGACATCATGGGAACACAGCCCTCCCGAACCACACATCCTGAGCTCTGCATCCCAAACCCCTTTCTTCTTCTTGTTTTAAATGCTGCAGTTATAGCTGAAGGCTGCTCGCCTTTTGCTGCGATGCTGGAGGAATTCACAGTGATGTAGCAGATCCCAGAGGGGGATAACAGCATCCCAGGACTCCTAACAGGGAGCTGTGGAGAGCCAGGGACCACCATAGGGTGAGCTGAGGCTTTGCAGCTGAATTTCCTATGGATGGGAGAGCAATAGAGCAGGGTCCCATGGAACTGCAGCTCAGGGGCATTGGCAGATGCTGGCAGCAATGCTGCAGTGGTGCCTTCTGGCCACCCCCATCTGCACTCAGCATCCAGCTGCCTCGCCAGATGTGTCACTACCCACAGCACCGCAGCGGACCAGAAGCTTTACCTCCTCTGCAAGGAGCCTTCTCAAGCTGGATGCTGGCTCTGTGTGATGTCCCCAGGGCAGCAGGCTGGCGATGCTCACAGAGGTGCAGCTTGAAGTCATCCGTGATGCAGAGGAGGAGCTGCTTTATTTGGGGTGGAGGCTGCAGGTGGGAATAAAAAGATAAATAAATTATATATATAAATATATATACATAAATATTAAGAAGATATATAAAATAAATAAAGATAAACCCATGTTCTGCCCTCAGCCCCTCTCTAGCAGCTGATGCTGCTGCTGCTCATCTCTCCTGGACCAAATCCCTGCAAAGAATTCCAGCATCCAAGTTGCAGCAGCGGTTTCTCCAAGACCAAGAGGGAGTGCAGCAGCCAGGCAGTCTGTAATCACAGCTAAACCTCATCTAGCCCGCATTGATTCAACCTTGCCAGGGCAGAAAGCATCTCATTGAAGGCTTTTTCTTTTTGTTGCCCTCCCTTCCTTGTTTTAAAGGCTGGTTTTGGAGGTGTGAAGCCACAGTTTCCTTGCAGCTGCCCACCAGGCCAAGCTCCTCTTGTTCTTCAAATCCAGGGGCTTTTAAAGATGCTCTTTATTGATGTAACACTTATTAATAAGCAAGCAACAGGAGAAGATGGTTAGTTCAGTTATTAAATTTAGAAAGCTGACAAAAGCAAAAGCAATATGGCTTAATAAGAGATTAAGAGGGAAGCAGCAGGACCTTCCATTTCTGACCCCGTGTTTCAGATTGGTTCATATCTATGTATTTTTACTGCTCAGATGGCAACACAATAAAATGACACATTTGTGCTCTTCGCCTACAGGGTTTTTATCACTAATTGATTTCACAACAGCTCATCTAACCTCAGTTCTAAAGGCTTTTGTGTGGGCTGCATTGAAAGGGACTGTCCTGCCCGGGGCATCTCCTGGCAGCGGGGAACATGAGGCTGGGGGCTGCAGAATGTGGGTACCATCCCCTCGCCAGCCTGGTGTGAGGGTCATGCCCAGCCACAGTGTTCACAGGCAAAGCAGCCAAGGGCCTGGACCTTGTGCAGAGTGAGGCAGTGAGGAGCAGTGCAGGATGTGACCGGTGGCACGTGTGTCCCTCCTCACCTGGGACCATGGCTGCTGGCACAGGTAAACCATGGTTTGGAAAGGCAAACAAATGGGAACCTGATTGCGAGATTCCTTACCTCGTTTCCCCACAGTTAAGGTTTAATCCATCTTCATCCCGTTTCCTTTTCACTAAAGCTATTTTTATTACAAGACATCCAGTGACAATTATTTGTTCTTTATATTTGATGAACTTGAGATACAGGTTGGATACGGGCACAGCAGAGCAGCTTGGAACAGCTATGAAAGAGCCACTTGGTTAAACAGCCTGGGGCAAGAACTGCCTTCAGGAGCCCTTGCACAACCCCTGTGTGCGCTAGCCCTAAGGAACTGAGATCCCCAAATCCCCCCTGAGGTCCCAACCCTGGAAAAGAAACAATCCAGGAGTCATTTCTATCCTCTTTTCCATAAATGCATTGGTATTTCAGGCACTGCCTGCTTGCAATCAGCAAGGATCATTCCAGAGTCGCTCATTCATAGCGGGTAACTGCACCTTCATAGCAGGTACCATCACCTTCTCTCAGCAGCCCCTGGCTGCTGCCACCTGAATTCACATGCAATTGAGGAAAGCAGCCAGACTTAGCCAGGATAAGGAGACAGCTGGATGGAAATTCAGGCCCAAAGGGCATTTCAGTGTCTAACTCTTCCTCCTGCTGCAGCTGGGATTGCTGCTCCTTTACCCAAGTATTGCCATCATCTGTTTTAGGGAAACTGCAGTAATTGGCTCAATTCATTTTAAATCAGTTATCGTTTGTGCAAGCAGCAGTCAGGGGAGAAGCAGCTTGTAGTTAATAACATCCTGATTTGGAGACATCCGCAGGGGTGAGGAGGGAGATCTCAGCAAAGGGCCGGTCCTTGGTCCTCCCCTGGAACACAGGGATGGGTGCAGGGTAGGGGCTCAGGGTGTGAGACGGCTCCTGGGATGATGCTGTGATGTTCAGCACTCCTCCTGCCCCTGGGCTCATCCCCTTCAGGCTGGGATGCTACTGTCTGCAATGGGACATTCATCATCTCTGAGCGTGGAAGCGCAGCCAGGATGCTGGAGGGTCTGGCTCTATTTGTCTCTGCCAAAGGAAAAGCACCTCCAAGTCCAGCCGTGCCAGCAGCTCTGGAAACAAGAAGATTAAAAAACTCCCCCTGTGCCATCACACATCCAAATCCCAGCCCAGCCCCTCTCCAGGGTGCGCAGAGCCTGGCACCATGGGGAGAAGTTGTCCCACATGGATCACAGCTTGGGAAAGGCCAATGTGCTCCCAGGGGCACATTGCATAGCCCCAGCAGCTTCTCCTTCACCCAGGTTGAACCCAGGGGGACCCAGGCAAGTGCTTGCACCCCCCCCCCCCCCCCCAGGAGGATGCAGAGCACCCACATTTGTGCCACCTCCCAGCACGGACATCCCCAGCCTGCGCAGAGGTTCCAAATCCATCACTGCCACCTGTGTCACGTTAGCAGCAATAAAAGGATTCAAACAGCAATTCCTTACTTTTATGAACAAATGGCCCTGGATGGATGATTCAGGCAGCATTCAATTCCCAGCAAGAAAGTGTCAGCAAAAACCCAGCCTCTTTCATGTAGGTGGATAACTGCAAATAAAAATAGGGAATTATTAGCACTTAATACTTGGTGTTTTTTACTCCCTAGTGCTCTTCTCTGGTAGATGCCAAGCACTTTAAATAAATTAACAGATAGGGAGGGGTTTGCTAAGGGGAGAATGCTTGGATCCTGGTGATGGATCTGGACCTCTCACACGTGGGGGGCACCATCCCCATCCCACTGCAGGGCTCTCCTCCAGTCTGCCCCCTCCAGAGCCCCTTTTCTCCTCCCCTCTCACCCCATCCATCCCCTCCCTGCTCTCCCATTCTCAGCTCACCACTACCAACACAGGAGCCCGGGATCCCCCCAGCCCTGGGGGGCTGTGAGCGGTGTCAGAGGCATGCACCAGCCTCCTCCTTCATCAAGGCCGCCTGTATTTGTCTTGCTCATCAGACTGACAAAATGGGCAGAAAACAGACTCCTGGCTATTTCCTGTGCGAGCTGCCCACTCCTCCTCTCCCTTTGGCAATGACTGAGAGCTGAAGAAGCAGGAATAGCATATAAATTTCCTCCCTCCTTTAATAAATACCTCTATTACCTACTGCTCTCTCCTGCTCGCCCGGTGGTTTTGCTGCCTCCAGGCAGACGTGATGAACCAAACCTCTCATTTCTATAGGGAATAAACAGCAGGACTGAGCCAGGCAGGGGCAGAGGGGAGGAACCCCCTCCCAGGGGCCTGCCTGCAGCTTTACATCATGGTATGGGGAGCCAAACGTACTCATTTATTAGGGTTGGGGCTTGTCTGACTGCTCTGCAGCACCTTGTGTGCTCCTTGGACACCCTGCCCTGGTCCCCAGTGGGAAGAGGATTCCCAAAGCCCAGGTGTAGCCGGGTTTGTCCCATGCACCACTGTGCACCTTGGGGTGGGCCTGAGGTTTAATGCAGGAAGGGAATAAGGACAAAGGATGCTAAAATCAAACCTGATGGTGCAGGCACACAAAGAAGCCCTCAAACCATGGAAGCCCCATGAAGCGAGCTGCAGACCTCGGGGCGCAGGGCAGTCTGTGTGACTGTCAGCAAGATGGGAGCATCCTTGCAATGGGAACCCCATGGGTGTCACTTGGCATCAGCACAGCTCTGGGGGCTCCATTGCAGCTCTGCTGCCCGCAGCTCCCTGCCCAGGACATGACCATGCCGCAGGGCAGCTTGTTTACTGAGAGGCCCTGCCCAGAGGTGACTCCTATACACATTTCACTCCATTTGATGCTGCAGAGCATCACCTGAGGGCAGGGATTTGTCCCCTGCCTTGCTGAACAGCACTTGCATGCACGCCTGAGCAGGGCTGCTGCTGCAGCACGTGTCAAAGATGTCCCATGCAAATAAGACAAACGCAACACCCACTGAGACCCCCTCAATTCCCGTCCTCAGCTCAGCTCTGGTGCATGGAATGGGCAGGATCATCCAGTTCCAATCCCCTAGGTGAAAACAAGCCAGGAGGCTGCAGCCTGACCCTTGCTGTGTTTCTCCTCCTTGTCCCTCCTTTTGGTCCCAGCCCTTTCCTGCAGCTGTTAGGGATACCCAGGACAAAGCTCACTTGTCCAGTGAAGGAAGTGCCTCTGTACACAGGCCACTGGACCCATTGGAAACACCAAAAGCCTTCCCGAATGGCTTGAGCATCACTGTGATGGCAGAGACCTTGCTCCATCCCCACTCTGTAAGAGAACAGGTAAAAGCCATCAGCTTTTTACACTCCATCCTCACCAACAGCCCCTCGGGGATCACGCTATCCCCATGCGCACGGGGCACATCCCCTGTGCTTTATGCAAGTGGAGCTGCTGAAGTGCCCCCGGCCCCTCTGCCACCCACCAGCAGCCCTGGCAGCAGCCAGCCCTGCTCTCTCCATCCCCTGTAGCTAGGATTGATGGCAGCCTGGAAAACCCACTTAAAGAGGAGCATTAAGGGCTGGCAGCCACCCCATTTCCCCCGCAGCCAGCACTTGGGGTGTCAGCCATTTCCTGGGGTCTATTGAACTTCTGAACTTAACAAGGTCCTAAACAAGTAATAGCAGCAAGTGGCAGCTCCTGGCTCCCAAGCTGCGAGTGGCATTTCAGGGGCCAGGCTGCCGTCAGCACAAGCAGTGGGAAATTTCTCAAGTGTCCCTTTGATTTATGGCTCCAGTTAATTCTCCAGGAGGGCTGCGAGCTGCCCCGAGCACACCAGACCTCAGAGGGATCAATAATTTACCAGGTGGTTAAATGTTCTTTAAGGTCTAGAGAACACCAGCAGGAGCACAGATGTCGTTCCGTATTATCCTCCCCACCACCACCAAACTGAGCCCAAGCAGCAGGGTCAGCCCGAGCTGGGCGCTGCCATCAGCTCAGTGCTGCTGCCATAGGAGGGAAAGGACCAGGATGCCAAGGGACGGGGGGGTTCTCACTCTCTTGCTCTTTCTCTGCATGAAACCCCCCCAAGGTGTCAGGGGGCACTTGCACCCTGCTCTGCAGGGGCTGGTGCTGGGGGAAGACCACAGAGCAAGAGCCACCACTGACTGAAGCAGAGGGATGGAAAGAGGAGATCAAAGCACCCCCTCTGCAAGTCCCCCAGTGCCATTTTAGCTTCAGATTGGGATGTTTGGGGACGCGAGGGCAGCCCCTAGCCCCTCCAGCAGCCCATGGCACCTATAAACCCCCCACACACACACACACCGGGGCCACTGCAGGGTGCAGAGGTAGATGGCAGCAAAGCCTATTTCTTGCGGAGCCAGGATGCGACATCCCGGTCCCTGCTCCGGCACCATCAGCCACACAGGCCACCGCACCGAGCCGGTACTCACAGAGCATCCAGCCCTTCGCTGTATCCACGGTCTGAGTTTTCCACCGCAGCTCCTTTTCCCCTGGTTTCAATCCTTAAGCATGATTCAGAGCCCAGGATGGAGCTTAATTCCTCCCTGGTGTCAAACAAATCAGCGAGCCAGGTGTATTTAAATGCTTCTGTGCCTGGGGCTTGGCTCCTTGCCTGCCTCTCTTCCTTTCCCCTCATCCCTGGAGCAGGATACCCCCACAGCAGCAGCCAAGCTGCTGCCTTGGAGTCAAGTTGTTGGGGACATTGCCAGTGCTTCCAGGGCACATGCAGCATCTCACTGCAGACAGCTTGTCCTGCTCTGCCCCTTGCAGGGGGATGACCGATGCCGCCCACTCACTGCCTCCAAATCCCCTTCCCAGCTCTTCATTGGATTCTTCAGGTGTCAGAGCTTGGCTGAGCAATGCTTTAGGGGACAAGTTCCCCCAAGAGGAACTCCATGGGGTCCCTGCCATGAGGGGAAGATGGGCAAGTCCATTATTGCCAAAGGCTGGCAAGAGGAGCCCACGCTCAGTCCCTGTCCCAGAGGGTTTCTCACAGCTGCCCCTGATAAATGGATAATGAATAATTCACTGTTGGCTTTTACTTCATGAAGTATTCATTGCCTTCAAGCTTCCCAGGGTAATTAACTGTCCTATGAGCCCCGTGTAACATAACCCAGCCACAATCCATCTTCAACACTTCATTAGCGGGCACCCGCACCGCTTCCATGAATTAAAGTGGACCAAACACACAAACAAAACCTTGCCCTCCCTGGGACTCCCCGGGAGAGTCCGGCATCACATCCCTGAGGAGGCAATGCCAGAGAGGAGGTCTGGGGGGGGTGCCAGGACTGGCCCAGCACAGGGCAGCACCGTGGTGCTGGGGACAAGCTGCATTTCCCCAGGACAATGGGGGATGCTGGTTTGGAGCCGACAGCTCCAAATCATCACGATTGATTTCTGACACACTGAGGCCTGACCTCTTGGGGCACCCGAGTTACCCACTCCCAGCTCACCCATCCACGCTCAGCAGGCTGGCAGAGCTGCTCTGCACCCATCCCACCCCACATCCAACAAGGCACAGCATGAGCCTGCTTCGGAGCTGGATCCGTGCACCCATTTCTGCCCTGCTTTGGGCATCCCCAGAGAGGCACAAGCCCCTCAGCACCAGTGGTGTCAGCCCGGAGGCGAGCCCACCGCAAGGTGACCCAGGCACAAGCCCAGACAGGAGTGGGACATGTCACTTTGATGGATGGGTAGAAATTTCCTGCAGGCTCCGGTGCTGAGTCAGCCCTTCTGCCTTCAATAATTTAGAGCAATAAACAGCCAGCTGAGAGCGGGCGCGAGTGGGATGCAGCAACCTGGGTGAGATGAGCGATGGCTCTGCCGACAGCCCTGCTCCTCCTGCGGGGATGGCACCGAGCATGGCACAGCATTAAAACCAGCCCTGGAGCCCAGAACAGCTCGCACAGAAACACTCCACCCCAGCCTGTAGAATGAGCAAGATGCTCCTTCGAGGTCCTACATAGGTTTTACTCAAACCCAAAGGAGCATCTTACCGGCACCATGGTCTCTGCACAGCTCTTCTCCATGCAAAGCATCCCCTGAGGCAGCCAGACCTTTATGGGGGCAGCCTGGGTGTGCTCTGACTGATGCTGATCCCAACTCACCCCAGCTGGGGCTGGCAGCCCCTCCTCACCCCATTGTCCTCGCTCCCTGCCCTCCTGCAGCTTCACACCAGTTATCCCTTGGGTTCATGGAAGCAAGGAGGGCTGCCAGCCTTGTTATCTCTGCTACCGCTTGCTGCTGCTAAAGATGTGTATTCCCAGGATCCAGCCCTTGCCCTTTCCCATTGCTCCTGCCTCTCCCATGATCTGTCTCATTCCTCCTTGCCTCATCAGGTGCCTGATTGAATTGCTCCCCTGATCCCACTGGCTTTGCCTTGCAAAGCCCAGGCTGGAATCTCCATTCCCCATGTGCTGCTCTCTGGGAGGCTGCCTGCATGCATGGGCATTCTGGCGGTCCCAGTGCTGGCTTCTCACCTCCAGCATCAGCCCAGGATAAGGTGGACTTTGAGATGTGACACCCCAAACACAGGGACAAAGCATGTGCTGGCATCCTCTCAGTAAGGGCTGAGTTACAGCACAGTACCCATTGCTAAGAGTAATGGTGAAAGAAACTGATATCCCTGAGCTG